CACAGTTGGATGCGTGGCCTATTTTGAATTTGTCATTTACCAATCACAAATCTGGTTACGAACAAGGGCGGGGTCACAATATACTTCAAACAGAATTATTTTATAAATTAAATTTGACTTTTTCTTCATCTGCTTTTTTACAGTTTAAAAATGTTCGATCGCTGGAACTGCGTAAAATATACCTTTTGAAATTATGTAAATTAATACATATTTACTCCTGCCTCCTGTCACGCCAATAACAGAAATACCAGGCAACCAATCAGGAAATAAATTAAGACCAGCATGGCCGGCAGACATGTGTGACGTTCCCATCACATTTCAATAAATCTGCCCAGACAAACCCGAGAAACGTTTTTTTCCCAGTAAAATACAAGAGTGAATTTTGCATTACTTTGCGTTTTGTCCCTACAACACTTATGTTTAAGATAATATATGTAAACATAAATATATCAGAATATGTAGTAGACTTGTACAAAATGGACGTCATTCCTAATCAAAATCTTGAAACAAAACTGACCAAATATAAGTCGATAAAAAGTTTGAACGAAAATTTGTTGATTAAATGATCATGCGTACATTTTTAGATTAATTAATTTTAGTTGAATGAAAATGTGAATGGACAAAGATGATAGATTGAAATTGTTATCCCATTACTCTTACATTTAATACAGTTGCCTCTATGTATATTCGTGGAATTCAAGCTGCAAATTAGTTTGTCTGCAGTTGTATACTTCCTTTGACTTGATCATTTTTAGTCCATCCAAATCCCTGAAATCCAAATCCCTAAATAGAGATATACCAACTAGTGTATGATAGATGGAATTCGTCATAAAATCTATCATGACTGTATTCTGTTTTTGTTGATATATAATCATGATTGTAATTCATCAACGTGACTGCTTCCTGAGACATAACCTTTGGCCATACTCCTGCTCCTTTCCTGGAGAAAACATAGTTGAATTAAACGTACATGAAGAACAGACGATGTGTAAGCAGGTTATGGTCATGTTTTCTCCTTTTCTGAGTTATGGAAAGATTCTCGTTATACCATATGCAGACTGATCAAGGGAGCTTCATTCGGCCGATTATGGAAACCATCTGAATTGCGTGAAGCAAGTCAGTAAAAGGACAATTAACCAGTAAGATGTAGTATACTAGCTGCAACACTAATTAAAGAATTACTCGCAAAATTAACCCTCAAAGCGTCTAAGACATGAACAAATTATCACTGTTAAGCAATATAATATATAAATAGAGACAGATTACGTCTCCCCTTATTCAGTCAGCATGGGGTGCCTCACCCATGCGTTCAT